AGACAGGGTCTCTCAGTGAACCTGGAGTTTGCTGTTTCAGCCACATTGACTGGCCGGCAAGACCCAGGGATCCACCTGTCTTCATGACCCCAGTGTTGGGTTACAGATGTACTACATCTAGCTTTTCTGAGGGTGCTGGGGATCCAAACTCAGGTGCTCATGCCTGCAAAGCAAGCATTTTACCTACTGAGCCATCTCCATCCCCTCAGTCCATTGAACCTCCAATTTCGACAACTAAATGGTCCATCAGAACGTTCTGTCCAATAAAACCCAGCTTTCTTCCTAAGAGGGACTGTGCTTACATGTTTAAAATGACATCTTTTCCTTCCTGCTCTGTATTTATTGAGCACTAAGGATATGTCTGAGGAGCTGGAGGAAGGGCAGGGAGTAGAGAGACGGGAAGGCGGGTGTCGTCCATGCCTATGATGACTGTACTGTCCCGCTATTGGGCTCCAGCCTCAGCTGGGTCAGCTCAGCCTTGGCACATACTTTTCTCTTGACATCTGATGGACTCAATGGCATCCTGGTGGATTGAGGGCATGGGCCTGGTGTCCACACACAGTTAACATGAGGACTCCACCCACCCACATACACATACACACACATGCACACTTTCCATAATTCTCGCCTTTGATGGCAGTCCCTGGCCTGTCATCACCATTCAATGTTGACAAAGCAAAAATAAAAACTAAAAAGAAAGAAAGAAATCCACCCTGTCACTTGGATGCCCCCACCCCCTGCCAGGCTTGGCAGCCCCAACCCCACCCCCGCCTTTGTATTATGGGTTTATGTCAAGGTATGTTGGATTCTAAATTAAATGTCAGCCCACTGTACATTTCTGGCTCCAGTGCAGAAAATGAGAAGCTGATGCTGGAGACCATCCAGTTGTTCAGCTCTTCGCGCCTAACCGCGAGGGTGACAAGCCCATTGAATCACTGCACGGTACCTTCCCAAGCCACGGGGAGTCAGGATGAATTTATTTTTAATGATAAATGTGACTGTCAGAGGTAAGTTGAAACAGCTTTACCGGAAGAGTGGACTGCCCTGGGTGATGTGGGACAGAGGTGGATGGACAAGGGCCAGGGGTCTCGACCTCCTGGCTAGTCGGGCCCCCAGGCCCCAGAAGACAGGCACATTTGAGATGCAGCCCGTGCTTCCAGAGCTCCTGCTGCGCGCCAACTCAGTTGCACTGGCTGGGTGTCTCAGGCTGACTGGGAAGCATCTAGGCTTCTGAGGAGTGATAGGCTCCTGCAGTGCACAGCCCAGGGTTCAAATTCTAGCCCTACAAATTGCTGTGTGATCTTGGTCAAGGTATTTAACCTCCCTGAGCTTCATCTGCCTCATCTTTATTTTTTTTTAACATTTTATTTATTTATTTATTTTAATGTATGAGTGTATTGCCTGCATGTAGGTAAGTGCACCCGTGTCATGCAATGCCCACAGAGGACAGAAGAGGCCATCGGATCCCCTAGAACTGGAGTTATGGACAGTGGTTAGCTGCCATGCGGGTGTTGGGATTCGAACCCAGGTCTTCTGCAAGAACAACCAGTGTTCTTAACTGCTGAGCCCTCTCTCCAGCCCCTGGCCTCATCTTTAAAATGGAGTTACTGGGGGCAGCAGAAATGGCTCAGCAGTTAAGAGCACTGGCTGCTCTTTTAGAGGACCCCAGTTGGGTTCCCAGCACCCACAGGGCAGATAACAACAGCCTGAAACTCCAGTTCCAAGGGATCCAACACCCTCTTCTGACCTCTGTAGGTACTGCACGCATGAGTGCACTTACACACATGCAGTTAAAACACTCATACAAATAAAAATAAATAAAATTTTAAAAATTTGATGGTGATATTAGGGCTGGGCACAGTGGCACACAGCAATTGGGAGGCAGAGACAGCAATTGGATCCCCGTGGCTTTGAGGTTAGCTTGGTCCACATAGAGAGTTCCAGGCCAGCCAGACATTAATAACACTCATAAGTCTTTGGTGAGAACATGAAATACATTGATATTACAAATGAATACTGTTCAGCACATGGGAAATCCTACATGGTAATTCAGTGCTAATTACATTGTTTTATTAATAGCACTATTTAGCTAAGTTATTTAACTTACCATTGTGTGTCTGTTTTGTCATCTATACAACGGAGATGACGATAGCTCTAGCCTATTGGAGTGGCTGGGAGGACACAGGTGCCCAGTACGAGGCTGAATGCAAGGGTGAAACTCAACAGATGGCAGCTGCCCCAGAGACTGTGTTGTCACCGTGTCCCCAGTCACTCTTTCTGGTCTCTTTGAGTCTTCATTTCTGTTGCTCTGATGTCAGTGTTCCTCACTGCTGGTCCTGCTCCTCCTCCCTGTGTAGGGCCTCAGGAGCCATGCCCTCCCACTGGATCATAGTGAAGTCTCTGTGGAGGACAGCTGCCTTCGGCCAACTGATGATCTGTGATTGATGGGTCCAGGCTCAGTTGGAGCAGGACCTCTGCCAGCCCTCTCAAGAATTTCAACTAAAAAGCCCTGACAGTCGCTGCCTGTAGCGAACTTACCACACCCTGGGGGCTGCAGTAAGAAAAATAACAAGGCCCTAAGGAGTTAGTAAGCCAGAGGGGAGGGGCAGGGTGGAGTCCCTAAAGCCTGCAGGTCCTGGAGTTTTCTACCTGGTCCTTGAACTGCCAGGAAGGGTGCTTGCCCACCAGCCAGCCACTAACCACAGCCAGACTTGTTCCTGGCACTCTGTTGCCATTCGCTTTGAAAGCGGCTAACAGGGAGGGCAGGGAGGGTGTCCGTCCGGTCTGGAGAGTTGGCTGGCTTTTCTCTCAGCTGGTTTCTGAGGTGTGTGTTCATCTCATGCACGGAATAATGTGCCCGGCTGGGCTGATGAGCCCGTGTGCACTGGGTGAATGCACTGTGCAAGGACTGGACAGATGAGTGTGCTCGTTAGCCCCACGTCACTGATGACCCTTCTGATGTCTTGAGCCAAGGCACCATTGCAGAGTGGTGATGGGGCGAGGCCTACCGCTCAGTTCAGCATTCAGACCGTGTACACCCCAGCAGGCAGCGGACTCGAGGACCCTATTGCTGAGAAGGTTGGAGGATGCAGCAGGAAACACTGCCAGGAGAAGCCGCTAGGTGGCCCCCGCTTACCTGTCCAACCTCCTTCCACAGACCCAGAAGCCAAAGCCCCGCAGGCTCTTATGCACAGCTGCCCAGGCACGCTGTGTCGCCCACTCAGGGCCAGGGTTTCACCCATCAAAACATCCTCTATATCCAGGTAGCCTCACCGTCTACGCTGCTCATCAGTCTCCTGGGGTCCCCAGGCCCTTTGCACTCCCTCCTCAGACTCCCGCGCCCAGGGTGATCTTTAGTACCCAGCTTACCTGGAGTCAAAAGTCCAGTCCCTGCACTGTGGAATCAGACTTGGGACCCTTCTCCACCCGTTTCTTGTGAAGGGGCCTGGGAACCCCACAGTTACCTCACTTCACTTCCTTGTACAAGGAAGAAAATTGAGGTTCAGGAAGAGCCTATTGGGGGAGGGTGGTCACAGCTTGAAAGTTTGGGCCCTTCCTCCTGAGATGCTTAACTATTGTCTTAAAACCTCACAAGAGCTCTTGGGGGGATGCTGTTAACCTTTTGGGTTACAAAGGGAAATGGGCTCTGAGACAGGCACTGGCCACAGACCAGGGGGTGGGCTAGGGTTGTGCACCCACACAGCCTTCTGCCCAGGACTGAAGACTCCCTAGCCACTTGCTGACCCCCTTGATTGAGCAGAACAAAAGCTGTGGGGGAAAGAGGCACCCAGATGAAACCCAGTCTTCTGCCGTCCATCCTGGGCTGTGGGGTCCTATCCAGCAACCTGGGCAGCTTGCTGAAGGGAAACAGGGCTGCTGGGATGGTGGCGGGTGGGGCTGGTTGGGCAAACAGCTTGGGGCCCGGTTTCTGGCTGGTGAGCGAGTTCTCCACCACGGCGCCTCGCTCCCTCTCTGATCCCAGGGGCCACTCCGCCAGTGTCGGGCTCCAGGCGCACCCTCACGTGTCCTGCCCCATGCCTGCTAGACGCGGAAAGGGACAAGAAGAGGGACGAAGATGGGACGACAGACTGGCAGTCGGTGGGGGAGAGATGAAGATGGTGCCAGGGAACAGCACGGCGGGCCAAGGCGCCCGGGGAGCCGGAAAACAGCTTTGGGGAGTAGCGGGGGGGAGGCGGAGAGCCCCGACGTCTCTGCGGAGCTGGGGGAGGGGCGGCGGCGGGGCGGGCGTGGGGGTGCGTGGGAGCCACGCGGTCGGAGCCACAATAGCAGCTCGTTAACAGCGCAGATTAAAGACTTTGTCAATTACCTCCAAAGGCTGCTCGGGAGGATTAAACGCTTTAAAAAGTGCTGCTGGTGGGCGGGGGCGACTAAGAAGCCCCCCGACCCCAGTGGCTCAGATCCCTCCTTCCAGAGTCGGGACGTTGCGGGGTGCACCTGGGGAGCGCAGGGATAGGGCGTGCCTGGGACAGGGCTGGAGCGGGGAAGGAGACCCCGGCTGGAGGGGACCCTGGGTGTGCGGGCTCAGCTGGGCTTGCAGAGTTGCGGACCTCAGCACGAGGCCGCGGGGGACTGGAGACTAGCGGGTCACGCGCGCACTTTTTTGGGTACCCGGACCTCGGAGCCTCGCAGGTCGGGGTACCCAGCCCCGACTACGCTCCGTCCTTATCGGGGTAATCCCTGGCGCCCCGGGACTTGGTGGAGAGGAAGTTTGCGCTGGGCACCGCAGGGCGCACAGGCTCCTCGGGGTGCCAGTGGCTGCCGTCGCGCCGTCCGCTGCGGGCTAGTGCCTCGGCCGGGCTGGAGCGGGAGTTACTCTTGGAGCCCGTGGGGCGCGCGCGCGTGCCCGGGAAGCCGCGGGGAGCAATAGTGAGGCAGAGAGTCCGAGACGGAGAAGACGCGGAGACTGATCCGAGAGGGAGGAGGGCGAAGGGCGGAGGGAGGAGCGCGCGGGAGGCGCGGGAGCGGGGCGCGGGGACGGCGAGGCGCGGGCGGCTCTAGGAGGCTCGCGCCCGCGCTCCCCGCGATCACACCGCGCTCGCACGCAGCCCAGCTCGCAGCCACCGTTCCCGGGGCCGCCCGGGGTCCCCCCGCACAGAGCGGGCTCCGGCGGGCTCAGCGCACCCCGCGTCCCCCGCGCTGCCTTTGCGCTCCGCGGCTGCCTCGCCCCGCGTCCCCGCCGGTCCTGCGGGAAGATGGTCAACGAGCGGTGGAAGACCGGGGGCGGCGCGTCCCAACTTGAAGACCGGCCGCGTGACAAGCCGCAGGTACCCACGGGCGCCGGGATCAGGCGGGCATGGAGTACGGGGTGGGGGCGGAGTTTGGGGAGCCAGGGTGGAGATGGGGAGCCCAGGACCCGCACTGTCTCTCCTCCTCCCGCAGCCGAGACTTGAACTCCGGTCTCCCTGCAGGAGTCACGCGCGCTGCGCCCCCCCCTCACATCCACCCAACGGAGACCCCGGGGCTCGCACGTGCAGAGGGGAGAGGGAACCTGTAGTTAGCTGTGAATCAGCCATTGGGTTGGTGACCCGCGTGCTGAGTCTCATTCGTCAGTGCCACAATGAGTATCCTTCCTACTTACAAGTCCCCAACCCTGAGCCAGGCGCCAGGCGCACCCTCTTGAGCTTCAGGACCGCCAGACCAGGCATCCAATAGGAGACCAATAAATATTCACCTCCTATAAGAATCCTGGGCGTTTTGATTCTCAGACTTTAAGACCAAGGAAGCCAGGCTCAGAGGAATTCAGCTCCAGCCCGAGGCCACGCAGCTCTGCGGGGATTTGAACCCTTGACTGCCTGGTCCTCGTTTCCTGCTGCTTCTGCAGGGACAGTGGTGCTGGGACGTGGGGCCTGAGGGATGGAGAAGGATTGGAGGGTGCCCAGGGCTGTGCACTGCACCAGCTAGGGCAGAGCAGCGAGTGGCTGGTGAGTGGTTGGGCATCCTGCCTGGGAGGCAGAGGGCTGGCCACAGGACTGCCCCAGGCTGGGCCATCGAGGGACTGGGACAGGCAGGCGAGATGAGGAAGCCTTTCGCCAAGAAGAGCGGATAATGGGGCTGCCCGTTTTAAATTTTAAATTTCTCCCAGACAGATGTCACTGGGGAAGGAACAGTGCTGCCTTTGCAGCCACAGGAGGGGGCGGCAGGGGCGGGTCTTGGCGGTCCCTCAATCTCCATAAGTGCATCCTGCTCTCTCTGGAGTGACACGGGCCTGGTGGGGGAACTGCTCTCTACAGTTTGCAAAGTCCTTTCCCACTCACCTGCACTACCTTACCTCCTCAAGCAGTCAGCCTGCTGCTCAGAGTTGCATTCCCGGTGGCAAAGAGGATCAGAGAGGTTGAGGAGCAGACCCAACACACAACATGGCAGGCGGCAGGAGAGCAAGGACTCACCTGGGGCCCTTTCCATTGCCTCTTTGGGTGGTCTGTCCCCTTTCTTAGGTCAGGCCTTCACCAAGTGTCCCCAGATAACAGAGATCTTGTTGAGGCCTGACTTTCCCCCTTAAAATAGCAACCTCTGAACTGGTCGTGGTGGTGCATGCCTTTAATCCCAGCACCCTGGAGGTGGATCTCTGTGAGTTCAAGGCCAGCCTGGTCAAATAGCAAGTTCCAGGCCAGCTGGGGCTACAGGAAGACCCTGTCTCAAAAAGACAAAAATAAATAAATAAATAAAAAAGCAACCTCTGGACTTAGCTGCGAGGCTGCCCCACCCTGCCCCTCCTGTTAGCCCCTAATGGGAACTGACTGTTGGTAATTTGCCCACTCTGGGCACCATCCGATGACCAGATCTTTGCTATCTCACTTGATTGGCTCCACCAGGCCGTCAACACACACACACACACACACACACACACACACACACACACACTCACTCAGGGACACCTTACCTGTTCTCAATACTGGCCTCATTGAGGCCCCCTCCTCCTGGAGGCCTTCCTGAGGGCCTGGGGCCCTTAGTCCAGGCAGTGTAGTTTTTTTAAAGGGTCTGCCGTATCTCCACTCCACATCCTTCCTCTATCAGGAGCTCCCTGTGGCTACGTGTTCTCCCATGGCCCTCTTTGTTCTCTCCCTATCCAGGGGCTTCATTCCTTCCAAGAGATGGAGGTCAGAGGTGAGGGCCTTTGTTGAGTGTAGCTGCTTGAAGTTTAGGCCAGTGGGAGCCTGTGACGGATGCTGCTATCTCCTCTCGAGTGGAGGGGTCTTTAGGGGGGAGTCCACTGGAAATGGGGTTTCGAGGAGTCCTGGACCAGGCACAGCCTCCTGGGGTTCTGCTGCCCCAGTGACCAGCTCCCAGCTGCACCAGCCAGAGCCCAACCATCTGTGCTGAGCATGGGGGTATCAGATAGACCTCCCATGTTCAAGTGGTGACCTAGCATGTGGCAGGCTGTGCCTTGTGCCCAACCTCATGCTTGTTTGGAACCACAAAGAGGCCAGGCCTTTCCTATGAGCAGCTTCAGCAACCCCAGAGAAGAGGGAGGGAGGGAGGGAGGGAGAAAGCTCCCTGGGGGCCTCTCCTTTGCCTTTAGTTTTTATTCTGGCCACTGACATGCTGTGTGACTTGTGGTAAGTTACTGCTCCTCTCTGTGCATCTGTAAAATGGGACAAGCCATCCCCTCTCCCTCTTTACAGGAGCTGATGGGGGAGTCAAGTGAACTTCTGATGTATTTGCAAACTGCAAAGTGCTGTGTACCCACAGGGAGGCTGGTTCTCAAAGCAGCCTATCCCTTGTCACAGCTGTCTGTCGAGAGTCCTGCTGTCCCCTTTACCCCCGACTGGAGGGGCCTTTATGGAGAGACCAGACCTAGGCGCTTCCTCTAGAATATACCAAGCCTGCACCCCAGCAGCAGGGATAGTTCACTTCTTTGTTACACCAACCTGGGATGCCGGCAGATGTAATGCATGATGGCACCAGGGCTGAACTCTGTTGGGGACCAAATCTGTGACCTCCCACAGCAGATGGGGCCAAGGTGAAGTTGGAGGGAGGGGCCTGCTGTCCTTTCGCTGCTCACAGAGCTAAGACACTTCGAAGGACCCTCGTCCATCCGTGAAGGCCCTGTGTCCACATGTGGCCACTCCTGGGGAACCTCCTGGGGCCTGCTGTGCCTGGCTCTGTTCCGGAACAGTCTGCTCATTGGCAGGGTGACTTTGGCCAAATGGCTGATTCCAACTTCCTTAGAGTGTCCTTTGCCCTCTTCGTGGAGAGTGTCCCCAGTAACCCTGGGGCAGGGCAACACAGTGCAGCCATGTCTGACAAGTGTTTGGAGTTGCTCAGATGAAAGGCTCTAGAAATAGACATGGACTTCTAGTCCTGGAGTGTGGGTAGAAAGTCACCCTGAACCATCTCCTCAGAGGTACATCTTGCTGCACTATCCCCAAGCCACCCAACAGCACCATCAACCTCCCATCTATGCCGGACCCTGTGTTTTAATTGTTGCAAAACTTCTAGCACCATTCCAGCAAGGAAGCAATTCTCTTTGGGAAGTTTCTCTTGATGTCTAACCTTAATCCTTGCCACATTTAATTCACTCTGTGGCTGTTTTATAGAGACTACATGCCAGGAGATGCAGCCTACACCTCAGGGGGCTTAAGAGTCCTCTGGGGACAAACCCATAAACCAGGAGCTGCCCTAGGCTGTGGTGGAAACCATGCAAGGAAGGCTCTAACCCCTTTCCATTCCCTGGGGTTTAGAGAAAGTCACGTCAGATGTGAGGTGAGGGAGAAAGGGTCCACTGGGGACATCTCCTTGAGCTGTCTCCTAAGACCCTGCTCCAACAAGCTCATGGTGCGGCCTACCTGAGGTTCTGGGGCTCGGCAGAGGCGTAGAGATTCCCGCAGAGGTGGCAGGGATGTTTGACTTCGATGGCCTGTGCAGGTGGAGAGGTTCACAGCAGGCACCTGGCGGGGGGTGTTAGGGGCTGCCCCTGACTGAGCTTCTGGTGTCTGGGGCCTTGGTGCCAGTGTCCTGTTAGCCTTATGTTCAGGTCCTGGGGAGGCAGCAGGGAACCAGAGGGGACAGTGATTCTTAGGAAAACAGTGGAGCCGTGGTCAGGTTGTAGATGCAGAGCTAAGGCTCAAGTGAGCCATATAGGGGATGCCAAGATCTGGGGTGGGGCTTACAGATACACGTGGAGAGCCCTCCTTAGCAGACCAAGAGCCAAGCCGAGGGCTCCCTGGGGAGTGAAAGAATGTGGAGGTCTCAAGTGAGCCATATAGGGGATGCCAAGATCTGGGGGGGGGCTTACAGATACACGTGGAGAGCCCTCCTTAGCAGACCAAGAGCCAAGCCGAGGGCTCCCTGGGGAGTGAAAGAATGTGGAGGTCTCAAGCCTCTAGAAGGGCCAGTGCTGGCGGCTCCCACTCCCACGCTATCTCTGTCCCCTCAGGCACTGTCAGCAGCTGCTCCCAGGACCCTCCAGAGAATCTGAGCTCCCTGGTCCCCAGTGCAAAGTCAGCGACAGGGTTTCATCTTGACCACGGCCATGATTTTTGGCTGAGGCTCCCAGGAGGTGGGTGGGCAGAGTGGCTCTCCCCTGGTGCTCACTGTGCCTGTCTGGCCCACAGGAGACCTCTTTCCCCATGCTGGCAGCCAAGGAGATGGGCTTTCCATCTACCACCCAGGGGACTGGGCCACCAAGCTCTCACAGAAAGCAAGGAGGAAGGGCACATGTGGTATAGGGGCTGGGCAGGGTCCCTCAGCATTGAATCTCTCCTCCAGATCTCCAGGTTGCTTCTCAGGGCTGGTGGATTACAGGAAGAAGCCTGGACAGATGTCTTCTCCAGCTGAGGCACTCCAGGAGGCCCCCACCTCCCTCCTGGGCCAAGTCCAGCTTAGCCTCCCACTTGTTAGGCCTTTACAATTTTTTTTTAATATTTTGATTTGTCCTGCGTGCACTAGGGCAGGGTGCACATGTGCCACAGCATGTGTGTATAGATTAGAGGACAACCTTGAGGAGTCTGTTGTCTCCTTCCACCTTTAGGTGAGTTCTGGGGATTGAACTCAGGTTGTCAATCTTGGCAGCAAACGCCTTTACCTGATGTGACATCTTGCTGGTCCCATCAGGTTTTTTAGGCAGACACTGAGCCCTGTCACAGAGCTTAAAGACACATCCCTGCAGCTGACCACACAAGGGTCTTGAACCCCGGGTCTCCTGACGTGGGCTCCTGGCTCCTTCCAGGTGGGATGTCTCATCTTTAGGAGTCTGGGGAACTGCACATCCCCCATTGCAGAGGGAGGTTAAGGGTGTGTACCTCACTCTGCCCCACCAAAGCCTGATTAACAAGCTCCAGCCTGAGGCGCAGTGCTGGCCACCCAGCCCAGGCCCCTTATTATCTCAGACTGATTTCTCTGCGAGCCACTTAAGCTGCAGCCTATAAAAGTGAATGGCTTCATCTTTAAGGTTGATCTCTGAAGACTAATTCTCTTTCACGAGTGGCCTTCTCCATTGTTGAGCACCCACACCTCCCTGTCTCTGAGGGACCGTGTCGCACCCTCCATCTTCCCTGTCTCTGCCCCTGTTGTCCGCACTCTCCTGGGAAGGCTTGGCTGGGAGGAAGATGCCAGATCCAGGTCTTGGAGACCCGGTGTAGAAATGGCAGTCTTGTCCCTGAGCCAGCTGGGGGACCTTAACGCCACGTGGAGGACACGGCTCAGAGCTGCTTGGGGCAAGGTGTCTCTTGATGGGCCAGGAACTGGCATCAGGGACTTAGATGCTGACACAGAGCTTTGTCCCGGAAGCCCCAGCCTGGCTTAGCAGAGGAAGGAATGTTGGAAGACACTCAGTCCACCCCATACCTGCTCAGCCCCGGGCTCAGACGCTGTTTCTATTTTGTGTCTCCCGTGTCATTTTGGGCTCAGGTCTTTGCTCCATGGGCCTCAGTTTCCCCATCTGAAAAACGAATTCAACCGTAGCCTCCACTGCTGGGGTTACTTGCAGATTTCAGAGGCAGGAACATAACACATGGCCGAGAGATGGTAAGGATTGCACAGTGCCTGCCAACTGCCGGCCTGCTGGGGTCTTAGGACGACTTGGATGGAAGTCGCCCTGTTCTGTGCATATCATCATGAAAGAGATGGCTCTACCTCAGTACCAGGGCCCCCCAGGGAAGTCCTGAGGCTCCGTGGGTGTCCTAGAGGCATGGCCTGGTCCCCCCTGCTTTTCCTACCTCCATCTATCTGTCCACTCAGCCGTCCATCTATCCATGTTCCACTCTACAGCCGGTGGCCAGGACTAGACAGCGTCAGGTGGTCAGGCTGGAGGTGGGGGCTCAGGGTCCAGGGCAGGTTTTCTCCCCTGAGACTCATCAGCCCCTGGTTCTCCAGAAACTGTCTTCAGCCTTTGTCAGAACCCCAAATGGATCGTGCCCTCAGAGAGGATAAGAATCAAGTCCTCGGGAGATGGGCAGAGCGGAGGCGGGGTCTGAGCTCCCTCTGATTCTTCCCCTGGAGGGGCCCAGAGCCTGACTCACAGGACAACCCCTGAGTGGGAAAATGATGTTCAAGTGACAAAATGAGTGAATGAATCAAAGTCAGAGAAGATACTGTGGGAGGAGCCCTCCAGGCTGGGGAGGAGGGAGGAAACGGGGGCTTCCTGGAGTAGGCTAGCCCTTCACCCCCACCCTTTCCCCCTCTGCTACCAAGCCAGAGACTCAGGAGTATTGGTGGTATTTGAATTTATGGAAGAGAAACTGTTTGCTGTGTTTTCTGTATGGCTAAAAAGGCAAGCTGGCTGTCAGTTACTACTGGGAGATGCCCCCATGTCAGAGATCTTATAGTGTGTAAGAATGAGGTGTCCTCCCAACACGGAGGACACACAGAAGTGATAATGCTCTGGGTGGAAGGTAGAGACCACCTCCAGATGCTTGGCACACATTGATCATGATACAATAAAAGCCGCTAATATTTATTGCAGAAGCGTCATGTGCCAGGCACAGCTCCAAGTACTTTAACATACTAACGCATTTAAAGAGGCATCCCAAATTCAGAAAGTTGAAAATGTGCGGGAAATGTGTGCCTGAAAGTTGAAGAGATTTGGTTGTCGGAGGTGCCGGTCCCTGCCCCCTGCCCCCCAGGAGAAAGCAGGGGGCTGGGGATCCAATCAGAGCTCTGCCTCTGATGGGCTGTGCAAATCTGGGCAAACCTCTTGCCCTCTCTGGGCTTCAGTTTTTCCCGTGTGTAAGGTGAGTGATTTAGTCAAATGAGTCTGGTTCCCTGAAGCATGTTGCTGTACAGTCAGGGACCCTCTTTTAAATACAAGTGACACTTTGACTCTGGCTTTTGTTGTTGTTAAACCCATTAGAATGGCTCAGTGCTCAGGCCCTGTTCTTACCACAACAGCTCTGACCCATTTGTGCCTCAGCCCTTCTCCCAAGTGGCCTTACAACTCCTCTGCCTGATGGTCTGACCTTTGTCCTGCCAGAGCCCTGTTCTAGAAAGACAGCAAGGGAGGAGAGATGGCTTTGGGTCTCTGTGCCTGCAGGGTATGAGGGGACAATGCTGTTCTTCTGTCCCTCCCCCGCCTCAATGTCTGTCCTCTACCTTCTCCATCTCTGTCTGTTTCTCTGGGTGTCTCCGGGCCTGTCCCCTCTAGCTCCTGGTTGTGTCCATCTTTTCCCCAGAATTACCTGCCTTCCCAGCCTCCCAACCTTACTGCATAGAACCACAGGCCCAGGCTAGCCTCTGACCCTTGCCTTCCTCTCTCCTGTCTGTCTTTCTCTGCATGTCCTGGGCTAACCCACAGCGGCCAAGTTGCAGCTACGTGCTGTGCACTGTGCTCCTGTCCCTGGCTGTGTTGCTGGCCGTGGCTGTCACCGGTGCGGTTCTCTTCCTGAATCACACTCATGCACCCGGCACAGCACCCCCGCCCATCGTCAGCATGGGGCCTTCAGGGGCCAACAGTGCCCTGGTCACCGTGGAGAGGGCTGACGGCTCCCACCTCAGCCTCCTCATCGACCCTCGCTGCCCTGACTTCGCCGACAGCTTCGCCCGCCTCGAGGGTGTGCAGGCCTCTGTGCTGCAGGTGTTGAGCGAGCACCAGGCCCAGCCACGACTGGATGGTGCCCCAGAGCTGCTGGACACACTGGCTGACCAGCTGCCCCGGCTTCTGGCCCGGGCCTCTGAGCTTCAGGCCGAGTGCGCCGGGCTGCGCAAGGGACACAGCACACTGGGCCAGGGCCTCAGCACCCTGCAGAGCGAGCAAGGCCGCCTCATCCAGGTGAGGGTAGGGTCTGCATATGCCTTGGGGGTTCTTGGTTGAGGGGTGGGGTCACCAGCACTGTGGGCTGGTCCTGTGCTGGGTGCCTGATGTACACAGACTCAGTCCGTAAGTGTTCCAACCTGGGCTTTGCACTTTACAACTGTGGAGGACCATGTGACTCAGATCCAAGGCCACCCAGGTTCTGAGAGCCAGGATCCCAACCCAGATTTTCTCACACACTCTGTAATGACCCTGTAGCCTTGAGGCATCCAACCATCCGGTGGAACCCCTGGTCAGCGTGTGGCCACAGGGAGCTCTACCTTTCCTCTCCCAATCTCATTGCCCTGCACATCCACAGTGGTCCAGGGACACAGGGACATCAGGGAAGGAGGAGCCTGGGCAGATCCTTGGCCTGCTCCTACCCACCCCATCCCTGCCCCTGAGCCAGCCTGCCGTTTCAGGTGCCAGACAGAGCTGGGTGAAGGGTTTCTGGCTTTGGATCTACTACCAGGCCTCCAACACCACTTCTCCCCTGAGACTCAGCCTGAAGTCAGTCCCCTCCCCACCCCAGCTGTTGCTGCACCCCCTTCATTCGGACAGCTGAGGTGACTGGGCATTTGGTCACCCACAGCTCATGAGCAGTGGCCCTCCTCTCCCTTCTTGAAGGCTGCAGCTGGAGAAATTACAGTCCTCATTCCCTGTCAGGGTGACTGATGGGGTGATGGGTCCCAGGATGGGGGGACATATAGCCAGCTTCCTACTGCTCCTCCCCCAGGCCCGTCAGTGGAGCGGGCAGTTGCCAGACTCCGGGTGACATGGGTCCCACCCCATCCTCCCTGAGCTCAGCCATGGTCAGCTCAGGATGAACACGGATGTTCTCTCTGAACCAGGGTGCCCTTATGAAATTTCTTGCAAGATGGGTAGTGTCCCCAGTCTCCAGTGCTGTGTTTCACCTGGTACAGGCCCCTGCAAGATGTTTCCTGCCCACTCACGATCAACTCCATCTGTAGACTAGAATGTAAAGCCAGTTGAACCGCCACTGAAAACCCTTTGTGAATGGAAGTGATGGCCCACCCCATGTGCTGGGTTTCAATCCAGTAACCCCAGGGGCAGGTAACTTTGTTGCCCAACTCTTCAGAGAAGCAGACTGAGGCTCAGTGGCAAAGGGCCTCGAGGGAAGCTTGGTGACCGCTGAGCCCTGCTGGAAGCAGCTGCCCCGATTTCTTGGCCTCCAGTTGCTGCCAGCTCCTCCCGTGATGATCTGCGCGGCTCAGCGAGCAGGGACTGACTTCCTATTAATTCGGGGCAGGTTTATATGTACATTTCAGTGGTAATCATTTGCTAGTTTAAACTGAGGTCTTCTCTGCCTGCCAGGGAGAGGGAGGGCCTGTGGCTGAGCCACTGAGTGTCACAGCCACAGTGACTAAGAAGGACAAGCCATGCGGTACAATTTATCAGAGTCTTGCCACCTCCACCCCAGGGGCTGCCTGTTCCCACCCCCTTCCCAGAGCTCCATGGAGCTTGACCACAAGTCACTGTGGGGAAGGCTGTAGGCTCCCCCTGCCCACCACAGTGTTCTTCCTGGGCTTGGCGATCACTGAATCACCTGCTCAGCAGAGGGGAAACCGACAAGGCCGAGAGCGTCTCAGGGCCCTGCCTCTGGACGAGCCGAGAATCATATTTTGTAAACTGCTGGCTGAGTATATTTCTCTCCTTTCCTGAGATGGGCTATTATCTGGCGAGTGACAGGTTCGGTGAACAAGACCCAGCTCACTCTGTGCTGAGAGCTGTGTGCTACCTCCCCATGTCCCTGCCTCCTTCTCCACGGGGTCCCATGGCCTCCTGGAGCCCATAGTGGGGATGCAGGAGACCCCTGGATCTTTCTAGTAGCCAGCACAGCTGAGGGGCATCTGGGGATCCAAGCTGTTCTGTTGAGCCCCACCCCATGGACGATGATGAAGAGGATGTGAGGGATAAGCATTACCTCGCATGGCTGGAGCGCTCCAGAGAACAGGTAGCAGTGTCTACCCGCCCCCAAAAGACAGGCTCTTCATCCCGGTCTGCAGACAGGGTGTGTGTTGGGGGGGATGTGCAGGAGAGGATTGGAGCCACAGCCCACCCAGGGAATACCAGGGCCTGGTTCCCACCTCCACTTGGATTGGTTCCACGGTGGCACAGGCCTGGGTTTTTTTCCTGGTGCCCACCCATCTGCCTTGGGAAGGTGGCCCAAGTCTTGGTTCCCATGTCCGTTTACTGGCAGGATCTCTCACCTTCTGGGCCCCAGTTTCCCTGTTTATAACATAGAGATGGCATTCTCAAGTCCTGGCTCTTTGTAGCACTATGGGGGAGCGGCGGGCAGCGTGAGGTCGTTTACATCAGGCAACTATGGAAAGTCCGCGCGATGTTTGAATGGGGGTAGGGGAAAGGGAGTGGAGGGCATAGTTGTTCTTGGCTCAGCAACTGGTGCCCAGTTCCATGCCCTTTCCAAGCCTCAGGGCACCTCTGTCAGGTGCAGCTGGACCACCCAGCCTCAGCCACCTGGTAAAGGGCTTCGAAGAGATAGATCTGGGATTCTCTGTAGTCAGGTAGGTGAAGTGAGGACCCCACTGCTACCCAGCGTCAGGCTGGTGCTCTGCATCTGTGGTCACCAATCCCCACAACCGTTAGGCCAGGGAAGTGGTGGTAACCCATTTCCCTCACAACAACCAAGGCTTGTTGGGGATGCGGCTCCATGGGTTGAATGCTGGCCTGGCATGCAGGAAACCTTGGGTTTGATCCCCATCACTGCATAAACAGGGTGTGGTAGCCCATGCCTGTCATCCCAGCACTGGGAGGTCGATGCAGGAGGATCAGAAGTTCAAGGCTAGCCTGAACTAGGTGAGACCTTGTATTTAAAAAAAAGTCAGTCAAAGTGGAACTGGCTGATGCCTGGTGCTGCCTCAGCTGGGCCTGATGCTTAGAAATAGCCAGACTCTCACCTGAGCCCTAGCCCTTTGAACCCTCGGGGTCCTAGATCAGCAAGACATGTTAGAGCTCTGCTGACCTGTCAGACTACCTTGGATGAGGTCCTCAAGCCAAGGGCTGCTGTGGAGGTGAGAACCCACTTCCTCTCAGGGGAGGGTCCTGTCAGACTACCTTGGATGAGGTCCTGGGGCCAGAGCAAGCCAAGGGCTGCTGTGGAGGTGAGAACCCACTTCCTCTCAGGGGAGGGTCTTTCCTGGCAGGAGAGACCTGCCAGGGCCTTGTCCTTCTGATACCCTTTGTGCCCTGCAGCTTCTTTCCGAGAGCCAAGGCCACATGGTTCACCTGGTGAACTCAGTCAGTGACGTCCTGGAGGCTCTGCAGAGAGAGCGAGGCCTGGGCCGGCCTCGTGTCAAGGCTGACCTCCAGAGAGCCCCTTCCAGGGGACCCCGGCCTCGGGGTTGTGCCAACGGTGAGTAAAATGTGCCTGCTTTCCCTGGACACCCAGCTCCAGAGAGTAGGGAGAACTGCAGTGAGGGTCACCCACTGGGATACCACACTATGTCCTCCATCCTCTACCACCCGTACCTCAACTCTGATAGAAAAGAGCATGCTGTTGCTCTGCTAGAGACAGAGGACTTCCTGTGGCCAGGCACCTCAGAATACCTGAGCAGCACTCTCCCCTGAGCCCTCATCCCATTTAACAGAAAAGGAAAGCAAGGCCCACTGGGATTTACCCAGGGGATGGTAGGGCTGAGGGCTGGTACTCTTGACCACAGGTGGACAGATACGTCAGAAAGAGCCGGGCACTGCTTTGGAGGGAAGGGATGGAGAAGGCAGGGCCTGGGCCACCACCACCCTGATGTGCCTCTCACAGGCTCTCGGCCCCGGGACTGCCTGGACGTCCTCCTCAGCGGACAGCAGGATGACGGTGTCTACTCGGTCTTCCCTACCCACTACCCAGCCGGCTTTCAGGTCTATTGTGACATGCGCACAGATGGCGGAGGCTGGACGGTAAGTATGGCTCACTCTGCGTCCAGAGCGGCAGCCTGCTTAGAATGCTCTGCCTAGGTCAGATTCTATCCAAACCACACAGATACCTGGAACAGGGGAGTCTGACCCTCGGGAACAGATGCCAGGCTGGCGGCGTCATGCTCCTGCACCCTGAGTGCCCAAGTCTTAGTTCTTGGGGTGGACTGGGAAGTCTGGTGAGGCCTTGGGATAGAGCAGCTCCTGGGACCTGTTGCTCATGTGAGCTCCAGGGCTGCTGGGAGTAAGGCCTGCCTCTGTAGCTCTCCCGTGAAGGTTCATTTGCAGGAGGGAGGGGAGCTGAGACTCTGGCAGCAACATCCAGTCGGAAGCGCTCTGACCCCAGGGGCTCTGGCCCCTAGTGCCTGTCTGATTAGACAGCCAGACTTCTAGTCAGGCAGCAGGGATGGAGCAGATGCCAGTGCCCGGAAGTTGATGATCCCCTGAGCTGGGGGAGTTAATGATCCCCTGAGCTGGGGGAGTTAGTGGCGCCAACCGGGGCCTTGGTTCAAAGACCCCAGAGCATCTCCACAACTGTCCAGCTTTCTGTAGAACACCAGACAGGAAGTGTAGGCTTGGGCTCAGCAATGGCTCTGACATCTCCAGGGGCCTACAGCAACGACTTGGCTTGGCCACTGTAAGGGAAATGAAAAGTGGCAAAGTGTGGCTTTGTTCCAGTAATGGGACTGTTGGTGCTGAAATTTGAATTTAAGATGGTCACATATTCTTGCTGAAGTATTGTTCAGAGGATGCTTTTAAAAACAGGCAGCAGGCAGGAACTGTCCCGTGGCCAAGGCTTGCTGTCCCCGTTCTAGAGCTGAGGGATGCTGACAGTTTGAAGTGAGCTTGCTGTCTCTTCTCCACATTGGTGAAGTGAACTCTGACCCTCTCCTGAGGCTGAGGTTCCAAGTTACACCTCAGCAACACACTACTGACTGTTGCATGATTTTTCTGTGTCTGTCCCTTCCTTTGTAAAGTGCTAGGCTTGGCTAGAGAAAGCTTTGGCCAGGTGCCCTTGGAACAGTGGACAACCCGTATGTGTGTCCCTGGGAACCACCCTGAAACTGTTCCTCCCCATACAAGTTGACTGTGGTTGGGACACCAATCAACCATGGACATGTTTGAGCACCTGCTGTGTACTGGAGACTTTGGAAGTGTAGAGATGGGGAAGTCCCTGTCTTCCCAAGGAGCTTAGAGTGTACAGGGATTCAGGCTGGAAGTCGCTGTGACAGAGGGGACAGCTGTGGGCTAGCCTCTTAGAGTGGGGGCTTTTCCTGTGCATCCTAAAGATGGGTGGGGCCTTTGAGCATATTCAGGAAAGAACAGGTATCCCAGGACCTGGGGTTGGAAAGCACATGGCACTTTCGGGGCACAGAATCAGCTGAGGGATGTGGCACATGAAGAGATGAGGTTAGAGTTTGAGACAGGCACTGGGGAGCTATGGAAGGTACTGGGGAGAGATGGGGTAAGACCTATGCCTCATAGTGGTCTGACTGTGCATCCTTGGGCAGAGCTGGGAGGGAGCTCCCAGGTGTCCATGGATGTGGAGGGAGTTCAGCTGATAGGCCTGTGATGGAGCATCTAGGAGGAAAAGAGCCTGGAAATCACAGTTGGGCTCCAACCATGGGTGGATCTGGCAATAGCTTGGCATTTTCTGTATGATCTTGTGTAAGTTAAGGCCTTTGAGCCCTGTGATTCCTCACACATCACTTAAAACTCTTAAAGGCAAATGCCATAAAGTGGCTGCAGGCAGACAAGGAGGGAGACAGGAGGCCAAAGACATCTTCTCAGGGCCACTCAGCTAGAAACAGACAGACTCCCAGAGCAGGCTGGGATTGGCCTGGCTTCTTCCTTTGGAGGCTGTCCTTCTGGCCCTGCTTCTTAGCTGCCCTGCAGGTGACTCAGGGGGTGACTTTAATCACCTGTGTTTGAACTAAACCTCAAAGGCCGAAAGTCACAGCCTGGGTTAGGGAAACAGCTGTCAGTAAAGTACCTGCTGCACAAACATGAGGACCAGAGTTTGCTCCCCAGCACCCAAGACAAGCTGAGTGTGATGGCTCATGTCTGTGAGCCAAGCTCTGGGGAGGTGGAGACAGGAAGATCCCTGGAGCTTGCTGAATAGTTAGTCCAGCGAATCATTGAGCTCCAGGCTCAGTGAGAGACCCTGTCTCAAAAAATACAAGATGGAGAAATTGGAGAGATGGCGCAGCAGTTAGGAGCACTGGCTGCTCTTGTAGAAGACCCAGGTTCAATTCCCAGCATTCACTGTATATAAGTGTATTGCCTACATGCATGTAAGTACACTGTGTCATGCTGCACCCACAGAGGTCAGAAGAGGGTGCTGGATTTCCCTGGAACTGGAGTTACAGATGACTGTTAGCTGCCACGTGGGTTCTGGGACTCGAACCTGGGTCCTCTGCAAGAACGGCCAGTGCTCTTAGCTGCTGAGCCATCTCTCCAACTCACCAATCACTATTTTGTTTTGTTTTTTTTCTGGTTTTTTAGTTTTTATGAGACAGGGTCTCCCTGTAGCCTCAGCTGGCCTGGAACTCACTATGTAGACCAGGCTGGCCTTGAACTCAGAGTGCTGGGCTTAAAGGCATGTGCCACCACGCCTGGCTCCAATCACTGTTTTTAACCATGAGCCAGGCCCTGGGCATGACACTGGTCATCCATAATAACCCAGATGCCGTGACCCCACTCCATCTCGTTCCCCAGAGAAGACCGAGTGTTCCAGGAAGGCATGAGTCCAACTGCTCTGGGCTGTCCAGGTAGCCCCTCTTCAAGTCTCCAACCTTGACCTCAAGCAGGGTGCCTCCGTTGCTCACAGGGCATTGACTATTTTTGGGGTATTGACATCTAGGCCAACGAACGTCCAGGGGAAGAGTTTAACACCAGATAAAGCAGCGACCTAGAAGCAGAGGAGGGAGGGAAGTGTTTTGGGGGAACGTGTGGGACATATAGGGAGGGCAGTGTGAGTCCGTTTTGAAAGGGGTCAGGGGTGGGTAGTGAGCCAGGGAGGGGCATGGCAAAACTTACCATTAGGAGCCAGCACAAGTGCTGCCAAGAATCCCCCCCAGACCCCCAAAATGGACATATCTCTAACTTGTCTTCAAGCTCCAGAGGAGAGCTTTTAAATGTACCAGATCCATGTCTGGGGTTAAAAGCTCTTTTGTTTTTCTAACTGCAAAGAGGCTGAGTTATGGCATTTGCCTCTGGGGTCTCTTGGCAGGCAGAGCATCCAGGAGGCTCCAGCCAGGCCCAGAAATCAGAATTAAGGGTGAGGATGGACTTAATGCTGACTGAGGCTCTTCTACTCGGGCTGACCTGGAGCCAATCTCCTGAGAAGTCAGTCAGGATTTGGGCCAGGTAATTCCTTTGGCCTTGGCTTCAAGGAAGATTAGGGGGAGTGGATAAGGAACGGTGGCCCACTTGGACCTGGCGCCCTGACACCTGGATGAGGGTTCTTGCAGAAGAGGCTGGAGTGATCTGTGAAGTGCTTGTGTGGCTGGGTAAACGTTCATATCCATTTGGCTTCTGTCAGAAACAATCTTTCCCCAGGTACCTGTCGGCATCTGTCAGAATCGCCTTCCTGCCACACAGAATCTCTCCAATGTTCAATTGTTGTTTGGGAGGGCGCTGGTCTCCCTCAGGCCATCCATCCTCATTAGGCTTCCCATCCAAACTGCCCGGCCTCAGGCACCAACACCGCATGGTCCTCCCTGGCTGAAGGACTTTCCAGTCACAAGCCAGCTTCCCAAAGGCTGGGGTGGGCAGGGATAGGGTTCGGCCTGAGGGGCCCTTGACAGCATACCACTTCCCTACTTGGCATTGCCCTGATGTTCCTTCTGCCCCTGGAGGCCGGGCAGGGAAGCCTGGCGATTTCTACCATTCAGCTAGGTCTGGCCCAGGAAAACCTAGGCCTCTTGAAGCAAGAAGGTGCAATTAATTGTAGGTAAACAATTAACTGAACAGCAGTCACAGGGAACCAGCTGGGACTGAGGTAGAGTGGCAGACTTGCAGCTGGGAGGGCAGATGAAGAAGGAAGCTGGCTTGCATCTGGGCTGAGGGCCACAGGGGGCCCATGGGAGAGGCCCTGAGCCTACTCTAGAGGCCTGAGGGCTGGGGACAAAGTGGGGCTCAGGGTGGTAAGAGACAGGGCTTGTGTTGTGACAAGGGTGACTCCCTGATGCTGACATATCTGCTATAAGGGGGTTTGGATCAGGGGACAGCAGGCTGTGGGATGTGTGGGTGATGGGCGTGTGGAGTCAGGCTCCTTCTGAGGGCAGAGTGAGGTCTTGTACCACACAGTTTTCACAAGGATGGGGTGACCCTGACAGGCAAGGCAGAGGGGTGCTGTGAGAGTGAGGGCCAGCTCTGAAACATGAATTCTGTAGGTCCTGAGTCCTTGCCACACAAAGTGGGGCAACACATGGGAACAAGGCCCCTTGGGGCTCCTTGCGGTTGGAGAGACCTCAGGGCAAATGAACAAATTCTTCAAGGTGGCTTTTAGATTCACTGGGCCCTGACTAATCAAAGCCTCTGCCCCATGCCCACCTCAGGCCATGGCAGCCAGGCCAAAGGAGCCCCATAGGGGCCACATCAAGGCCACTACTGAACTTGACACCTGCCCCAGAAAAGAAGGGAGGGTTGCCCTGGATGACCTCGTGATCTGAGTGAGAGGTCTTCCTCACTGGGCCCAGCCCAGCTACCCATGTCTTCCGGGAGACCTTTCTGACCACCCTGGCTAATTCCCCAGGCTTTTTCCCTGTGCCTGTCACAGGTTCCCACCTGTTCCCATGTTTTCCACTTCTGTCCCAGCCAGGACAGGAATTGTGTCCTCTCGAGACTGTGGTGGCCTGGGCTTGGCACAGCACCTGCAGTGTCCCATCACCCTAACACTTGTGAGATGAGTGACCTCAAGGCCAGTTGTCACCTCCAGCTCTAAACCCCCAGTTTGTCATTTGCTAACTGTGAATAATATG